ATCTTCCCATCAGCACCCTTGAACATGGCCTTGCCCATGCCTTTCACCTCTGCTCGCTGCCCCAAAGCCGATGTGACATGCTTCACCGGTGACGGCTCGAGTTCGGTGAGCAAGTCCGGGCGAGGTGTCATGCTATAGGTAGCGCCACTATCAATCACCCAATAGTCCAGGGGGTGTAGGGTCACCTTCCCCACAGCTGCTGGCTCCTCAAAGCCTTCATCCTTCTCTGGACCAGCCGGTACTTGCGTCGACACGAAGTAGAATAGACCCGGGTATCGATCGTCGCTCGGGTCCTTGTCGTTGTCTCCGCTCTTCATGTTTGCAGCTCCGCCACCGCGACCGCCACGGCCTCCACGGCCTCGTCCTCTCCCTCCTCCTGCTCCTCTACCCTCTTGGCCTTGAGCAGGGGTCCAACCATCAGGGAGTTTGTAGCAGTCGCGCCACATGTGTCCGCTCTTGTGGCAATAGTGACACTCGCCGTCGAATCGGCCGCGACCGCGTCCGTAGCTCTTGTCGTCGCTGCCGTAACCGCCACTCCTGCGGCCTCCGCCGAAGTTGCTGCCTCCAAACCTTCCTCCCCCTCGTCCTCTGCCTCTTCCTCGACCATATCCACGGCCGATGCTCGCTGCCCCAGCGCCATCCGCACTCGCCAACTCACGGCGGCGGAAGTCCTCTTGAAGGATAGCTCGCTTCACGTCTTCAAGCGAGAGGCGAGGCAAGTCGCGATTAAGGTTGATGATGAGCGAGGACCATGACTCTGGGAGTAAGGCCAGCAACTTGGTCTTCTTTTGGAGCTCACTGTAGTTCAAATCAGCTCCCTCAAGCCGCGTCAACAAGTCGAAGAATTTCAGCACCCCTTCTTCAACCGCTTCGTTTTCTTCAATTCGTAGTGCCGCCATTTGCCGTTCCAACACCACCGCTACCGCCGCTGTTGCAGGAGCATGTACACCCTTGAGAGCAGCCCATGCCTTTGGTCCTTTCTCTGGTTCACGCTGGAATGGCTTGATGTGACGGATCTGACTGCTCCCCAACGCTTGCCCAAGTAAGAGATAGCCTTGTGCGCTCTTCCGCACCCACGGGCTCTTCTCCGGGTCGTTCTCGGGGCGCTTCTCCGTTCCTTCCATCACCTCCAGCAGGTCATAGTGGTCAAAGATGTTCTCCATCTTGAAGGACCATTCAGCAAAGTTGTCACCGTTGAACTTGTCAAGCCCAAACACCCTAGGCTCATCCCTAGGTGGGCCAAGACTTGGTTGCATGGGCGCCATGGCTGAATCACGGGGTTGGCCTTAAGCTTGAGCTTCTCCACTGCCACCAGCACCTCTGCCACCCCTTTCCTCAGGTCCAGACATTGTCGAAACTGCTCCAAGGGGCTCTGATACCACTTGTTATAGTCACAATAGGCTTGAATGTGCCTAAAACGAAAGATAGAGAGCACAGACGGATTTCTGCACAGCGGCTTCAAACGTTGATAGCGTTCTGCTCACAGCTGCAAATGACTTGATTCAAATTGGATCTGGAGCGTCTTCACGTCGTCTACAATTAGCAATTTAGATTGCACGATTTGATAAAGAATTGACGACACAGCGTCGGTTTGAACGAACGGTACTATGGCAGCCACTATAGTCTTAGAACACAAGATAGGAAGAGTTACGAGTTGGGAATGACTCCCAGCTCCTACAAACCCCAAGAGCCGAGGTACAGTGATGTGGAACAGTGCCACACTGTCCCCAACCACGAAGGGTCTCGAAACTACCCTTCACTAGGGCCTACACCAAGTGAAATGTTACACTACACAAAGTAATGTGACTATCTTCAATATCTTGAGGTGTGCCCTTTTGGCAAGCTTCGAAATCACTTGAGGCTTGACACCAAGGCTCGGGCTCTTCATCACAAACTCATCCTTGAGTTCTTGATGGGTCTGCTGCACACACCTGCGACACGCCGAACGTTCGACACAGGACAAAATAGAAACCGCGCACGACAAAATAGAAACCGCGCGCGAGACACAAACGACCGCGTAACACGCGTCTAGCGATAACTCGCTATTGACTCGACACACACACTCGACATCATGACTCAACATTCACACACAATTATAAGCATGAAATATATATTATCCCATGCCCTCATACCATTCCATACACACACACATTCACGCACACGGACAACAAGCCGAGTGCAAACCGTAGGGTTGCACCAACACCTGGACCAAGGCGCGCGCCTGGACCAAGTCGCGCGCCAGGACCAAGGCGCGCCCCTGGACCAAGGCGCGCTCCTGGACCAAGGCGCGCGCCTGGACTAGGTCGCACGCCTGGACCAAGGCGCGCTCTTGGACCAAGGCGCGCGCCTGGACCAAGGCGCACGCCTGGACCAAGGCGCGCTCCTGGACCAAGTCGCGCACCTGGACCAAGTCGCGCTCCTGCACCAAGGCGCGCGCCTGGACCAAGGCGCGCTCCTGGACCAAGGCGCACACCTGGACCAAGTCGCGCGCCTAGACCAAGTCGCGCGCCTGGACCAAGGCGCGCGCGCCCAAGTCACGCGCCTGGACCAAGGCGTGCTCCTGGACCAAGGCGCGCACCTAAACCAAGTCGCGCGCATTGACCAAGGCGCGCGCCTGGACCAAGGCGCGCTCCTGGACCAAGGCGCGCGCCTGGACCCATGCGCGCGTGCCTGGACCAAGTCGCGCGCCTTGACCAAGTCGCGCGCCTGGACCAAGGCGCGCTCTTGGACCAAGGCGCGCGCCTGGACCAAGTCGCGCGCCTGGACCAAGGCGCGCGCCTGGACCAAGTCGCGCTCCTGGACCAAGTCGCGCGCTTGGACCAAGGCGCGCGCCTGGACCAAGGCTCGCGCGCTTGGACCAAGTCGCGCCAAGGCGCGCGCCTGGACCAAGGCGCGCTCCTGGACCAAGGCGCACGCCTGGACCAAGTCGCGCGCCTGGACCAAGTCGCGCGCCTGGACCAAGGCGCGCGCCTGGACCAAGACGCGCGCCTGGACCAAGTCGCGCGCCTGGACCAAGGCGCGCGCCTGGACCAAGGCGCGCGTCTGGACCAAGTCGCGCGCCTGGACCAAGGCGCGCGTGCCCAAGTCGCGCGCCTGGACCAAGGCGCGCTCCTGGACCAAGGCGCGCACCTGGACCAAGTCGCGCGCGCCTGGACCAAGTCGCGCTCCTGGACCAAGTCACGCGCTTGGACCAAGGCGCGCGCCTGGACCAAGGCGCGCGCGCCTGGACCAAGTCGCGCGCCTGGACCAAGTCGCGCGCCTGGACCAAAGCGCGCTCCTGCACCAAGGCGCGCTCCTAGAGCAAGGCGCGCTCCTGGACCAAGGCGCGGGCCTGGACCAAGTCGCGCTCCTGGACCAAGGCCCGCGCCTGGACCAAGGCGCGCACCTGGACCAAGTCGCGCGCCTTGACCAAGGCGCGCGCCTGGACCAAGTCGCGCTCCTGGACCAAGTCGCGCGCCTGGACCAAGTCGCGCTCCTGGACCAAGGCGCGCTCCTGGACCAAGGCGCGCACCTGGACCAAGCCGCGCACCTTGACCAAGGCGCGCGCCTGGACCAAGGCGCGCGCCTGGAGCAAGGCGCGCGCCTGGACCAAGTCGCGCGCCTGGACCAAGGCGCGCTCTTGGACCAAGGCGCGCGCCTGGACCAATTCGCGCGCCTGGACCAAGGCGCACGCCTGGACCAAGTGGCGCTCCTGGACCAAGGCGCGCGCCTAGAGCTAGGCGCGCTCCAAGACCAAGGCGCGCGCCTGGACCAAGTCGCGCTCCTGGACCAAGGCGCGCTCTTGGACCAAGGCGCGCTCCTGGACCAAGGCGCGCGCCTGGACCAAGGCGCGCGCCTGGACCAAGGCGCGCGCCTGGACCAAGTGGCGCTCCTGGACCAAGTCGCGCGCTTGGACCAAGGCGCGCGCCTGGACCAAGGCGCGCGCGCCTGGACCAAGTCGCGCGCCTGGACCAAGTCGCGCTCCTGGACCAAGGCGCGCGCCTAGAGCTAGGCGCGCTCCAAGACCAAGGCGCGCGCCTGGACCAAGTCGCGCTCCTGGACCAAGGCGCGCTCTTGGACCAAGGCGCGCTCCTGGACCAAGGCGCGCGCCTGGACCAAGTCGCGCGCGCCTGGACCAAGTCGCGCGCCTGGACCAAGTCGCGCGCCTAGACCAAGTCGCGCGCCTGGACCAAGGCGCGCTCCTGCACCAAGGCGCGCTCCTGGACCAAGGCGCGCACCTGGACCAAGGCGCGCACCTGGACCAAGTCGCGCGCTTGGACCAAGGCGCGCTCCTGGACCAAGGCGCGCGCCTGGACCAAGGCGCGCTCCTGGACCAAGTCGCGCGCTTGGACCAAGGCGCGCGCCTGGACCAAGGCGGCGCGCGCGCCTGGACCAAGTCGCGCGCCTGGACCAAGTCGCGCTCCTGGACCAAAGCGCGCGCCTGGAGCAAGGCGTGCTCCTGGACCAAGGCGCGCGCCTGGACCAAGTCGCGCGCCTGGACCAAGGCGCGCGTTTGGACCAAGTTGCGCGCCTGGACCAAGTTACGCGTCTGGACCAAAGCGCGCGCCTGGACCAAGTCGCACGCCTGGACCAAGTCGCGCGCCTGGACCAAGGCGCGCGCCTGGACCAAGGCGCGCGCCTGGACCAAGGCGCGCGCCTGGACCAAGTGGCGCTCCTGGACCAAGTCGCGCGCTTGGACCAAGGCGCGCGCCTGGACCAAGGCGCGCGCGCCTGGACCAAGTCGCGCACCTGGACCAAGTCGCGCTCCTGGACCAAGGCGCGCGCCTAGAGCTAGGCGCGCTCCAAGACCAAGGCGCGCGCCTGGACCAAGTCGCGCTCCTGGACCAAGGCGCGCTCTTGGACCAAGGCGCGCTCCTGGACCAAGGCGCGCGCCTGGACCAAGTCGCGCGCGTGGACCAAGGCGCGCGCCTGGACCAATGCGCGCGCGCCTGGACCAAGTCGCGCGCCTGGACCAGCGTGCCTGGACCAAGTCGCGCGCCTGGACCAAGTCGCGCGCCTAGACCAAGTCGCGCGCCTGGACCAAGGCGCGCTCCTGCACCAAGGCGCGCTCCTGGACCAAGGCGCGCACCTGGACCAAGGCGCGCACCTGGACCAAGTCGCGCGCCTGGACCAAGGCGCGCTCCTGGACCAAGGCGCGCGCCTGGACCAAGGCGCGCTCCTGGACCAAGTCGCGCGCTTGGACCAAGGCGCGCGCCTGGACCAAGGCGGCGCGCGCGCCTGGACCAAGTCGCGCGCCTGGACCAAGTCGCGCTCCTGGACCAAAGCGCGCGCCTGGAGCAAGGCGTGCTCCTGGACCAAGGCGCGCGCCTGGACCAAGTCGCGCGCCTGGACCAAGGCGCGCGTTTGGACCAAGTTGCGCGCCTGGACCAAAGCGCGCGCCTGGACCAAAGCGCGCGCCTGGACCAAGTCGCGCGCCTGGACCAAGTCGCGCGCTTGGACCAAGTCGCGCGCGCCTGAACCAAGTCGCGCGCCTGGACCAAGTCGCGCGACAGGACCAAGGCGCGCCCCTGGACCAAGGCGTGCTCCTGGACCAAGGCGCGCGCCTGGACCAAAGCGCGCTCCTGGACCAAGGCGCACACCTGGACCAAGTCGCGCGCCTGGACCAAGGCTCGCGCGCCTGGACCAAGGCGCGCGCGTGGACCAAGTCGCGCGCCAGGACCAAGGCGCGCCCCTGGACCAAGGCGCGCTCCTGGACCAAGGCGCGCGCCTGGACTAGGTCGCACGCCTGGACCAAGGCGCGCTCCTGGACCAAGGCGCGCGCCTGGACCAAGGCGCGCGCCTGGACCAAGGCGCGCTCCTGGACCAAGTCGCGCACCTGGACCAAGTCGCGCTCCTGCACCAAGGCGCGCGCCTGGACCAAGGCGCGCTCCTGGACCAAGGCGCACACCTGGACCAAGTCGCGCGCCTAGACCAAGTCGCGCGCCTGGACCAAGGCGCGCGCGCCCAAGTCACGCGCCTGGACCAAGGCGCGCTCCTGGACCAAGGCGCGCACCTAAACCAAGTCGCGCGCATTGACCAAGGCGCGCGCCTGGACCAAGGCGCGCTCCTGGACCAAGGCGCGCGCCTGGACCCATGCGCGCGCGCCTGGACCAAGTCGCGCGCCTTGACCAAGTCGCGCGCCTGGACAAAGGCGCGCTCTTGGACCAAGGCGCGCGCCTGGACCAAGGCGCGCGCCTGGACCAAGGCGCGCGCCTGGACCAAGTCGCGCTCCTAGACCAAGTCGCGCGCTTGGACCAAGGCGCGCGCCTGGACCAAGGCTCGCGCGCTTGGACCAAGTCGCGCCAAGGCGCGCGCCTGGACCAAGGCGCGCTCATGGACCAAGGCGCACGCCTGGACCAAGTCGCGCGCCTGGACTAAGTCACGCGCCAGGACCAAGGCGCGCCCCAGGACCAAGGCGGGCTCCTGGACCAAGGCGCGCGCCTGGACCAAGGCGCGCTCCTGGACCAAGGTGCGCTCCTGGACCAAGGCGCGCGCCTGGACCAAGGCGCGCGCTTGGACCAAGTCGTGCTCCTGGACCAAGGCGCGCTCCTGGACCAATGCGCGCTCCTGGACCAAGTCGCGCGCCTGGACAAAGTCGCGCGCCTGGACCAAGGCGCGCGCCTGGACCAATGCGCGCGCGCATGGACCAAGTCGCGCGCGTGGACCAAGTCGCGCGCCTGGACCAAGTCGCGCGCCTGAACCAAGGCGCGCTCCTGGACCAAGTCGCGCGCTTGGACCAAGGCGCGCTCCTGGACCAAGGCGCGCTCCTGGACCAAGGCGCGCGCCTGGACCAAGGCGCGCTCCTGGACCAAGGCGCACACCTGGACCAAGTCGCGCGCCTGGACCAAGTCGCGCGCCAGGACCAAGGCGCGCCCCTGGACCAAGGCGCGCTCCTGGACCAAGGCGCGCGCCTGGACTAGGTCGCACGCCTGGACCAAGGCGCGCTCCTGGACCAAGGCGCGCGCCTGGACCAAGGCGCGCGCCTGGACCAAGGCGCACACCTGGACCAAGTCGCGCGCCTAGACCAAGTCGCGCGCCTGGACCAAGGCGCGCGCGCCCAAGTCACGCGCCTGGACCAAGGCGCGCTCCTGGACCAAGGCGCGCACCTAAACCAAGTCGCGCGCATTGACCAAGGCGCGCGCCTGGACCAAGGCGCGCTCCTGGACCAAGGCGCGCGCCTGGACCCATGCGCGCGCGCCTGGACCAAGTCGCGCGCCTTGACCAAGTCGCGCGCCTGGACCAAGGCGCGCGCTTGGACCAAGGCGCGCGCCTGGACCAAGGAGCGCGCCTGGACCAAGTCGCGCTCCTGGACCAAGTCGCGCGCTTGGACCAAGGTGCGCGCCTGGACCAAGGCTCGCGCGCTTGGACCAAGTCGCGCCAAGGCGCGCGCCTGGACCAAGGCGCGCTCCTGGACCAAGGCGCACGCCTGGACCAAGTCGCGCGCCTGGACCAAGTCGCGCGCCTGGACCAAGGCGCGCGCCTGGACCAAGGCGCGCGTCTGGACCAAGTCGCGCGCCTGGACCAAGGCGCGCGTGCCCAAGTCGCGCGCCTGGACCAAGGCGCGCTCCTGGACCAAGGCGCGCACCTGGACCAAGTCGCGCGCGCCCGGACCAAGTCGCGCTCCTGGACCAAGTCACGCGCTTGGACCAAGGCCCGCGCCTGGACCAAGGCGCGCGCGCCTGGACCAAGTCGCGCGCCTGGACTAAAGCGCGCTCCTGCACCAAGGCGCGCTCCTGGAGCAAGGCGCTCTCCTGGACCAAGGCGCGCGCCTGGACCAAGTCGCGCTCCTGGACCAAGGCGCGCGCCTGGACCAAGGCGCGCACCTGGACCAAGTCGCGCGCCTGGACTAAAGCGCGCTCCTGCACCAAGGCGCGCTCCTGGAGCAAGGCGCTCTCCTGGACCAAGGCGCGCGCCTGGACCAAGTCGCGCTCCTGGACCAAGTCGCGCGCCTGGACCAAGTCGCGCTCCTGGACCTAGGCACGCTCCTGGACCAAGGCGCGCACCTGGACCAAGTCGCGCACCTTGACCAAGGCGCGCGCCTGGACCAAGGCGCGCTCTTGGACCAAGGCGCGCGCCTGGACCAAGTCGCGCGCCTGGACCAAGGAGCGCGCCTGGACCAAGGCGCGCGCCTGGAGCAAGGCGCGCGCCTGGACCAAGTCGCGCGCCTGGACCAAGGCGCGCTCTTGGACCAAGGCGCGCGCCTGGACCAATTCGCGCGCCTGGACCAAGGCGCGCGCCTGGACCAAGGCGCGCGCCTGGACCAAGTGGCGCTCCTGGACCAAGTCGCGCGCTCGGACCAAGGCGCGCGCCTGGACCAAGGCGCGCGCGCCTGGACCAAGTCGCGCGCCTGGACCAAGTCGCGCTCCTGGACCAAGGCGCGCGCCTAGAGCTAGGCGCGCTCCAAGACCAAGGCGCGCGCCTGGACCAAGTCGCTCTCCTGGACCAAGGCGCGCTCCTGGACCAAGGCGCGCTCCTGGACCAAGGCGCGCGCCTGGACCAAGTCGCGCGCGTGGACCAAGGCGCGCGCCTGGACCAATGCGCGCGCGCCTGGACCAAGTCGCGCGCCTGGACTAGCGTGCCTGGACCAAGTCGCGCGCCTGGACCAAGTCGCGCGCCTGGACCAAGTCGCGCGCCTGCACCAAGGCGCGCTCCTGGACCAAGGCGCGCACCTGGACCAAGGCGCGCACCTAGACCAAGTCGCGCGCCTGGACCAAGGCGCGCTCCTGGACCAAGGCGCGCGCCTGGAACAAGGCGCGCTCCTGGACCAAGTCGCGCGCTTGGACCAAGGCGCGCGCCTGGACCAAGGCGGCGCGCGCGCCTGGACCAAGTCGCGGGCCTGGACCAAGTCGCGCTCCTGGACCAAGGCGCGCGCCTGGAGCAAGGCGTGCTCCTGGACCAAGGCGCGCGCCTGGACCAAGTCGCGCGCCTGGACCAAGGCGCGCGTTTGGACCAAGTTGCGCGCCTGGACCAAGTCGCGCGTCTGGACCAAGGCGCGCGCCTGGACCAAGTCGCGCGCCTGGACCAAGTCGCGCGCCTGGACCAAGTCGCGCGCCAGGACCAAGGCGCGCCCCTGGACCAAGGCGTGCTCCTGGACCAAGGCGCGCGCCTGGACCAAGGCGCGCTCCTGGACCAAGGTGCGCTCCTGGACCAAGGCGCGCGCCTGGACCAAGGCGCGCGCTTGGACCAAGTCGCGCTCCTGGACCAAGGCGCGCTCCTGGACCAAGGCGCGCTCCTGGACCAAGTCGCGCGCCTGGACCAAGTCGCGCGCCTGGACCAAGGCGCGCGCCTGGACCAATGCGCGCGCGCCTGGACTAAGTCGCGCGCCTGGACCAAGTCGCGCGCCTGGACCAAGTCGCGCGCCTGAACCAAGGCGCGCTCGTGGACCAAGTCGCGCGCTTGGACCAAGGCGCGCTCCTGGACCAAGGCGCGCTCCTGGACCAAGGCGCGCGCCTGGACCAAGGCTCGCGCGCCTGGACCAAGGCGCGCGCCTGGACCAAGTCGCGCGCCAGGACCAAGGCGCGCCTCTGGACCAAGGCGCGCTCCTGGACCAAGGCGCGCGCCTGGACTAGGTCGCACGCCTGGACCAAGGCGCGCTCCTGGACCAAGGCGCGCGCCTGGACCAAGGCGCACGCCTGGACCAAGGCGCGCTCCTGGACCAAGTCGCGCACCTGGACCAAGTCGCGCTCCTGCACCAAGGCGCGCTCCTGGACCAAGGCGCACACCTGGACCAAGTCGCGCGCCTAGACCAAGTTACGCGCCTGGACCAAGGCGCGCTCCTGGACCAAGGCGCGCACCTAAACCAAGTCGCGCGCATTGACCAAGGCGCGCGCCTGGACCAAGGCGCGCTCCTGGACCAAGGCGCGCGCCTGGACCAATGCGCGCGCGCCTAGACCAAGTCGCACGCCTGGACCAATGCGCGCGCGCCTGGACCAAGTCGCGCGCCTGGACCGAGTCGCGCGCCTGGACCAAGTCGCGCGCCTGGACCAAGTCGCGCGCCTGGACCAAGTCGCGCGCCTGGATCAAGTCGCGCGCGCGGACCAAGTCGCGCGCTCGGACCAAGTCGCGCGCCTGGACCAAGGCGCGTGCGCCTGGACCAAGTCGCGCGCCTGGACCAAGTCGCGCTCCTGGACCAAGGCGTGCACCTGGACCTAGGCGCGCTCCTGGACCAAGGCGCGCTCCTGGATCCAGGCGCGCGCCTGGACCGAGTCGCGCGCCTGGACCAAGGCGCGCACACCTGGACCAAGGCGCGCGCCTGGACCAAGTCGCGCGCCAGGACCAAGGCGCGCTCCTAGACCAAGGCGCGCCCCTGGACCAAGGCGCGCTCCTGGACCAAGGCGCGCGCCTGGACCAGGTCGCGCGCCTGGACCAAGGCGCGCGCCTGGACCAAGGCGCGCTCCTGGACCAAGGCGCGCGCCTGGACCAAGGCGCGCGCCTTGACCAAGTCGCGCACCTGGACCAAGTCGCGCTCCTGCACCAAGGCGCGCGCTTGGACCAAGGCACGCTCCTGGACCAAGGCGCACGCCTGGACCAAGTCGCACGCCTAGACCAAGTCGCGCACCTGGACCAATGCGCGCGCGCCCAAGTCACGCGCCTAGACCAAGGCGCGCTCCTGGACCAAGGCGCGCACCTGGACCAAGTCGCGCGCCTTGACCAAGGCGCGCGCCTAGAACAAGGCGCGCTCCTGGACCAAGGCGCTCGCCTGGACCAATGCGCGCGCGCCTGGACCAAGTCGCGCGCCTGGACCAATGCGCGCGCGCTTGGACCAAGTCGCGCGCCTGGACCAAGTCGCACGCCTGGACCAAGTTGCGCGCCTAGACCAAGGCGCGCTCCTGAACCAAGGCGCGCTCCTGGACCAAGGCGCGCTCCTGGACCAAGGCGCACGCCTGGACCAAGTCGCGCGCCTGGACCAAGGCGCGCGCCTGGACCAAGGCGCGCTCCTGGACCAAGGCGCGCTCCTGGACCAAGGCGCACGCCTGGACCAAGTCGCGCGCCTGGACCAAGGCGCTCGCGCCTAGACCAAGTCGCGCGCGCGGACCAAGTCGCGCGCGCGGACCAAGTCGCGCGCTCGGACCAAGTCGCGCGCCTGGACCAAGGCGCGCGCGCCTGGACCAAGTCGCGCGCCTGGACCAGGTCGCGCTCCTGGACCAAGGCGCGCACCTGGACCAAGGCGCGTTCCTGGACCAAGGCGCGCTCCTGGACCAAGTCGCGCACCTGGACCAAGGCGCGCGCCTGGACCAAGTCGAGCGCCTGGACCAAGTCGCGCGCTCGGACCAAGGCGCGCGCCTGGACCAAATCGCGCTCCTGGACCAAGGCGCGCGCCTGGACCAAGTCGCGCGCCTGGACCAAGGCGCGCGCCTGGACCAAGTCGCGCGCCAGGACCAACGCGCGCTCCTAGACCAAGGCGCGCCCCTGGACCAAGGCGCGCTCCTGGACCAAGGCGCGCGCCTGGACCAGGTCGCGCGCCTGGACCAAGGCGCGCGCATGGACCAAGGCGCGCTCCTGGACCAAGGCGCGCGCCTGGACCAAGGCGCGCGCCTGGACCAAGTCGCGCTCCTGGACCAAGGCGCGCTCCTGGACCAAGGCGCGCTCCTCGACCAAGGCGCGCGCCTGGACCAAGTCGCACGCCTAAACCAAGACACACACCTGGACCAATGCGGGCGCGCCTGGACCAAGTAGAGCGCCTGGACCAATGCGAGCGCGCCTGGACCAATGCGCGCGCGCCGGGACCAAGTCGTGCGCCTGGACCAAGGCGCGCTTCTGGACCAAGGCGCGCGCCTGGACCAAGGCGCGCTCCTGAACCAAGGCGCACGCCTGGACCAAGTCGTGCGCCTGGACCAAGGCGCGCGCCTGGACCAAGGCGCGCTCCTGGACCAAGGCGCGCTCTTGAACCAAGGCGCACGCCTGGACCAAGTCGCGCGCCTGGACCAAGGCGCGCGCCTGGACCAAGGCGCGCTCCTGGACCAAGGCGCGCTCCTTAACCAAGGCGCGCGCCTAGACCAAGGCGCTCGCCTGGACCAAGGCGCGCTCCTGGACCAAGGCGCGCTCCTGCACCAAGGCGCGCGACTGGACCAAGTCGCGCGCCTGGACCAAGGCGCGCTCCTGGACCAAGGCGCGCGCCTGGACCAAGGCGGCTCCTGAACCAAGGCGCACGCCTGGACCAAGTCGCGCGCCTGGACCAAGGCGCGCGCCTGGACCAAGGCGCGCTCCTGGACCAAGGCGCGCTCCTGAACCAAGGCGCGCGCCTGGACCAAGGCCCACGCCTGGACCAAGTCGCGCGCCTGGACCAAGGCGCGCGCCTGGACCAAGTCGCGCGCCTAGACCAAGTCGCGCGCCTGGACCAAGTCGCGCGCCTGGACCAAGGCGCGCACCTGGACCAAGGCGCGCGCGCCTGGACCAAGTTGCGCGCCTGGACCAAGTCGCGCGCCTGGACCAAGGCGCGCGTGCCTGGACCAAGTCGCGCGCCTGGACCAAGTCGCGCTCCTGGACCAAGGCGCGCGCCTGGACCAAGGCGCGCTCCTGGACCAAGGCGCGCTCCTGAACCAAGGCGCACGCCTGGACCAAGTCGCGCGCCTGGACCAAGGCGCGCGCCTGGACCAAGGCGCGCTCCTGGACCAAGGCGCGCTCCTTAACCAAGGCGCGCGCCTAGACCAAGGCGCTCGCCTGGACCAAGGCGCGCTCCTGGACCAAGGCGCGCTCCTGCACCAAGGCGCGCGACTGGACCAAGTCGCGCGCCTGGACCAAGGCGCGCTCCTGGACCAAGGCGCGCGCCTGGACCAAGGCGGCTCCTGAACCAAGGCGCACGCCTGGACCAAGTCGCGCGCCTGGACCAAGGCGCGCGCCTGGACCAAGGCGCGCTCCTGGACCAAGGCGCGCTCCTGAACCAAGGCGCGCGCCTGGACCAAGGCCCACGCCTGGACCAAGTCGCGCGCCTGGACCAAGGCGCGCGCCTGGACAAAGGCGCGTGCGCCTGGACCAAGTCGCGCGCCTGGACCAAGTCGCGCGCCTAGACCAAGTCGCGCGCCTGGACCAAGGCGCGCACCTGGACCAAGGCGCGCGCGCCTGGACCAAGTTGCGCGCCTGGACCAAGTCGCGCGCCTGGACCAAGGCGCGCGTGCCTGGACCAAGTCGCGCGCCTGGACCAAGTCGCGATCCTGGACCAAGGCGCGCGCCTGGACCAAGGCGCGCCTGGACCAAGGCGCGCTCCTGGACCAAGTCGCGTTCCTGGACCAAGGCGCACGCCTGGACCAAGTCGCGCGCCTGGACCAAGTCGCGGGCCTGGACCAAGTCGCGCGCGTGGACCAAGTCGCGCGCCTGGACCAAGTCGCGCGCCTGGACCAAGGCGCGCGCCTGGACCAAGTCGCGCGCGCCTGGACCAAGTCGCGCGCCTGGACCAAGTCGCGCGCCTGGACCAAGTCGCGCTCCTGGACCAAGTCGCGCGCCTGGACCAAGGCGCGCCCCTGGACCAAGGCGCGCTGCTGGACCAAGTCGCGCGCCTGGACCAAGGCACGCGCCTGGACCAAGTCGCGCATCTGGACCAAGTCGCGCGCCTGGACCAAGGCGCGCTCCTGGACCAAGGCGCGCGCCTGGACCAAGGCGCGCACCTGGACCAAGTCGCGCGCCTGGACCAAGTCGCGCGCCTGGACCAAGGCGCGCGCGCCTGGACTAAGTCGCGCGCCTGGACCAAGTCGTGCTCTTGGACCAAGGCGCGCGCCTGGACCAAGTCGCGCGCCTGGACCAAGTCGCGCGCCTGGACCAAGTCGCGCGCTTGGACCAAGGCGCGCGCCTGGAACAAGTCGCGCGCCTGGACCAAGTCGCGCGCCTGGACCAAGGCGCGCGCCTGGACCAAGGCGCGCGCGCCTGGACCAAGTCGCGCGCCTGGACCAAGTCGCGCTCCTGGACCAAGTCGCGCGCCTGGACCAAGGCACGCGCGCATGGACCAAGTTGCGCGCCTGGACCAAGGCGCGCTCCTGGACCAAGGCGCGCGCCTGGACCAAGGCGCGCTCCTGAACCAAGGCGCACGCCTGGACCAAGTCGCGCGCCTGGACCAAGGCGCGTGCGCCTGGACCAAGCCGCGCGCCTGGATTAAGCCGCGCACCTGGACCAAGGCGCGCGCCTGGACCAAGGCGCGCGCCTGGACCAAGGCGCGCTCCTGGACCAAGGCGCGCGCCTGGACCAAGTCGCGCCTGGACCAAGGCGCGCTCCTGGACCAAGGCGCGCGCCTGGACCAAGTCACGCGCCTGGACCAAGTCGCGCGCCTGGACCAAGTCGCGCGCCTGGACCAAGTCGCGCGCGTGGACCAAGTCAAGCGCCGGGACCAAGTTGCGCGCCTGGACCAAGTCGCGCGCCTGGACCAAGGCGCGCGCCTGGACCAAGTCGCGCGCGCCTGGACCAAGTCGCGCGCCTGGACCAAGTCGCGCGCCTGGACCAAGTCGCGCTCCTGGACCAAGTCGCACGCCTGGACCAAGGCGCGCTCCTGAACCAAGGCGCGCTCCTGGACCAAGGCGCGCGCCTGGACCAAGGCGCGCGCCTGGACCAAGTCGCGAGCCTGGACCAAGGCGCGCACCTGGACCAAGGCGCGCGCGCCTGGATCAAGTCGCGCGCCTGGACCAAGTCGCGCGCATGGACCAAGGCGCGCGCGCCTGGACCAAGTCGCGCCTGGACCAAGTCGCGCTCCTGGACCAAGGCGCGCGCCTGGACCAAGGCGCGCGCCTGGACCAAGTCGCGTTCCTGGACCAAGGCGCACGCCTGGACCAAGTCGCGCGCCTGGACCAAGTCGCGGGCCTGGACCAAGTCGCGCGCGTGGACCAAGTCGCGCGCCTGGACCAAGTCGCGCGCCTGGACCAAGGCGCGCGCCTGGACCAAGTCGCGCGCGCCTGGACCAAGTCGCGCGCCTGGACCAAGTCGCGCGCCTGGACCAAGTCGCGCTCCTGGACCAAGTCGCGCGCCTGGACCAAGGCGCGCCCCTGGACCAAGGCGCGCTGCTGGACCAAGTCGCGCGCCTGGACCAAGGCACGCGCCTGGACCAAGTCGCGCATCTGGACCAAGTCGCGCGCCTGGACCAAGGCGCGCTCCTGGACCAAGGCGCGCGCCTGGACCAAGGCGCGCACCTGGACCAAGTCGCGCGCCTGGACCAAGTCGCGCGCCTGGACCAAGGCGCGCGCGCCTGGACTAAGTCGCGCGCCTGGACCAAGTCGTGCTCTTGGACCAAGGCGCGCGCCTGGACCAAGTCGCGCGCCTGGACCAAGTCGCGCGCCTGGACCAAGTCGCGCGCTTGGACCAAGGCGCGCGCCTGGAACAAGTCGCGCGCCTGGACCAAGTCGCGCGCCTGGACCAAGGCGCGCGCCTGGACCAAGGCGCGCGCGCCTGGACCAAGTCGCGCGCCTGGACCAAGTCGCGCTCCTGGACCAAGTCGCGCGCCTGGACCAAGGCACGCGCGCATGGACCAAGTTGCGCGCCTGGACCAAGGCGCGCTCCTGGACCAAGGCGCGCGCCTGGACCAAGGCGCGCTCCTGAACCAAGGCGCACGCCTGGACCAAGTCGCGCGCCTGGACCAAGGCGCGTGCGCCTGGACCAAGCCGCGCGCCTGGATTAAGCCGCGCACCTGGACCAAGGCGCGCGCCTGGACCAAGGCGCGCGCCTGGACCAAGGCGCGCTCCTGGACCAAGGCGCGCGCCTGGACCAAGTCGCGCCTGGACCAAGGCGCGCTCCTGGACCAAGGCGCGCGCCTGGACCAAGTCGCGCGCCTGGACCAAGTCGCGCGCCTGGACCAAGTCGCGCGCCTGGACCAAGGCGCGCGCGCCTGGACTAAGTCGCGCGCCTGGACCAAGTCGTGCTCTTGGACCAAGGCGCGCGCCTGGACCAAGTCGCGCGCCTGGACCAAGTCGCGCGCCTGGACCAAGTCGCGCGCTTGGACCAAGGCGCGCGCCTGGAACAAGTCGCGCGCCTGGACCAAGTCGCGCGCCTGGACCAAGGCGCGCGCCTGGACCAAGGCGCGCGCGCCTGGACCAAGTCGCGCGCCTGGACCAAGTCGCGCTCCTGGACCAAGTCGCGCGCCTGGACCAAGGCACGCGCGCATGGACCAAGTTGCGCGCCTGGACCAAGGCGCGCTCCTGGACCAAGGCGCGCGCCTGGACCAAGGCGCGCTCCTGAACCAAGGCACACGCCTGGACCAAGTCGCGCGCCTGGACCAAGGCGCGTGCGCCTGGACCAAGCCGCGCGCCTGGATTAAGCCGCGCACCTGGACCAAGGCGCGCGCCTGGACCAAGGCGCGCGCCTGGACCAAGGCGCGCGCCTGGACCAAGGCGCGCTCCTGGACCAAGGCGCGCGCCTGGACCAAGTCGCGCGCCTGGACCAAGTCGCGCGCCTGGACCAAGTCGCGCTCCTGGAACAAGTCGCGCTCCTGGACCAAGTCGCGCTCCTGGACCAAGGCGCGCGCCTGGACCAAGGCGCGCGCCTGGACCAAGGCGCGCGCCTCGACCAAGGCGCGCTCCTGGACCAAGGCACGCTCCTGGACCAAGGCGCGCTCCTGGACCAAGTCGCGCGCCTGGACCAAGTCGCGCACCTGGAGCTGCAGATTCTCCCGCGCCTGGAGCTGCATATTCTCCTGCGCCTGGAGCTGCAGATTCTCCTGCGCCTAGATCTGCAGATTCTCCTGCGCCTGGATCTGCAGATTCTCCAGCGCCTGGAGCTGCAGCACAAGCACTGCCTGTGTGCCACACTGTCTGTGTGCTGCAGCACAAGCACTGCCTGTGTGCCACACTGTCTGTGTGCTGCAGCACAAGCACTGCCTGTGTGCCACACTGTCTGTGTGCTGCAGCACAAGCACTGCCTGTGTGCCACACTGTCTGTGTGCTGCAGCACAAGCACTGCCTGTGTGCCACACTGTCTGTGTGCTGCAGCACAAGCACTGCCTGTGCCACACTATCTGTGTGCTGCAGCACAAGCACTGCCTGTGTGCCACACTATCTGTGTGCTGCAGCACAAGCACTGCCTGTGTGCCACACTATCTGTGTGCTGCAGCACAAGCACTGCCTGTGTGCCACACTATCTGTCTGCTGCAGCACAAGCACTGCCTGTGTGCCACACTATCTGTGTGCTGCAGCACAAGCACTGCCTGTGTGCCACACTGTCTGTGTGCTGCAGCACAAGCACTGCCTGTGTGCCACACTGTCTGTGTGCTGCAGCACAAGCACTGCCTGTGTGCCACACTGTCTGTGTGCTGTAGCACAAGCATTGCCTGTGTGCCACACTGTCTGTGTGCTGCAGCACAAGCACTGCCTGTGTGCCACACTTTCTGTGTGCTGCAGCACAAGCACTGTCTGTGCCACACTATCTGTGTGCTGCAGCACAAGCACTGCCTGTGTGCCACACTATCTGTGTGCTGCAGCACAAGCACTGCCTGTGTACCACACTATCTGTGTGCTGCAGCACAAGCACTGCCTGTGTGCCACACTATCTGTGTGCTGCAGCACAAGCACTGCCTGTGTGCCACACTGTCTGTGTGCTGCAGCACAAGCACTGCCTGTGTGCCACACTGTCTGTGTGCTGCAGCACAAGCACTGCCTGTGTGCCACACTGTCTGTGTGCTGCAGCACAAGCACTGCCTGTGTGCCACACTGTCTGTGTGCTGCAGCACAAGCACTGCCTGTGCCACACTCTCTGTGTGCTGCAGCACAAGCACTGCCTGTGTGCCACACTGTCTGTGTGTTGCAGCACAAGCACTGCCTGTGTGCCACACTGTCTGTGTGCTCCAGCACAAGCACTGCCTGTGTGCCACACTGTCTGTGTGCTCCAGCACAAGCACTGCTTGTGTGCCACACTGTCTGTGTGCTGCAGCACAAGCACTGCCTGTGTGCCACACTGTCTGTGTGCTGCAGCACAAGCACTGCCTGTGTGCCACACTGTCTGTGTGCTGCAGCACAAGCACTGCCTGTGTGCCACACTGTCTGTGTGCTGCAGCACAAGAACTACGTGTGTGCCACACTGTCTGTGTGCTGCAGCACAAGCACTGCCTGTGTGCCACACTGTCTGTGTGCTGCAGCACAAGCACTGCCTGTGTGCCACACTGTCTGTGTGCTGCAGCACAAGCACTGCCTGTGCCACACTATCTGTGTGCTGCAGCACAAGCACTGCCTGTGTGCCACACTATCTGTGTGCTGCAGCACAAGCACTGCCTGTGTGCCACACTATCTGTGTGCTGCAGCACAAGCACTGCCTGTGTGCCACACTGTCTGTGTGCTGCAGCACAAGCACTGCATGTGTGCCACACTGTCTGTGTTGTTCAGGATCCATCACTTTGAGAGCTTATGACGAACTCATTACTCAACTTAACGCAAATCCGCTCGGTAGGATTGTGCGCCTTAGGCTTAGCTACCATCTCCAAGTTGAATCAGTCGTTAAGATGGTCTAGAGAGTGAGAACCATGTAAAAACGTCCAGCAGCCGCATGACTAGAATGATAGAGGAAGTACAAGCATTAGAGGCATAGGAAGTTGGAGTTGGGAACCTCCAAGAGAACCATGAGAGGGAAGGGGTTCTCCAAGAGCTAGGGAAGGATGGTAGGAACCTTCCTAGCAGCAATGATGCAACCCTCATCATGAAGTCCTTGAGGTGTCACATGCAAAATCCAATCTAGTTGGATTTTGCCTAGGTGTTGCAACATTTGCAACCCATGCTAGAAACTTCTAGCCACCCCAATCCAAAAGTCAAAGTTGCCTTCCTAACCACCCAACCAAAGATCCCTTTATAGTCATGTCCCAAGTAATCACCCAAATTAGATATAACCCCAAAAGGTAATAAGAAATCCAAGTCTTGGAAATCTTGTAACTTGGGCAATCTTGGTCGGAATAAGGCGATCTTGGTATCGTTGGAAAGCTCTGGATTTCTCCTGCATGATCAAGCATTTAGACTTGGAGAAAAACACAGAGATAATAATATCCAACAGCCATGCACAATGACATATGCTCATGCCAATCATGCAAGCACAAATAGCACGAGCACTCGGCAGGACGTTAGGATGACATGCACTCAGAATGACGTGCATCCAACAAACTCCCCCTCAGACTAACGGACTGCATGCACACACACTCACACAAATGCTAACTCTCATGCACACAATCACACATGCACTCATGACACTGCTGCCCACACTAGTGCAATGCCATGCCACACATCTTAGCACACTTCCAATGTGCACTCTCGGGAAGTCTCTTGGTGAGAAAATCTGCCGCCTGCTTGCTAGCCTTCACATGGTGAAGCTCAACAATCCCCTCCTTCACCATCTGCCTCACCCAATGCCACTTAATCTTCATGTGCTTGTTCAGCCCATTCAGGATAGGATTATTGGCCATGCCAATAGCAGCCTCGCTGTCGGAGAAAAGTGGTGTAGGTCCCTCCTGTTCTGCTCCCATGTCCTCCAGCAGCTTCCTCAGGAGCACGATCTCCTTGATGGCATGGTACATCGCCATGTACTCTGCCTC